AAAAAAATGTGCGATTAAAATGCGATTAATCGCGAGTTAACTCAGACATTGATGCGATTAATCGCAATTAAAAAAATGTAATCGATTGACAGCACTAATATATATATATATATATATATATATGCATATATGTATGTATATATATATATATATATATATATATATATGTATATATATATATATACATATGTATATGTGTGTATATATGTATATATACATATATATACACATACATACATGGATATATAATTACATATGTATCTGTATGTATGTATGTATATGAATGTGTGAATATATATAATGTTCAATTTTTATTTTTTGCTTTTACTCATTTCTTATTGGGTTTCCTTTGGCTGTTTGAAAGTTTAAATAATTACCACTAATGGTTATATTTCCTGTAAACTTAGTGTTTTTCATGTGTTTGTTGCAGAATTCCATTCTTGGATTTCCTGTCATTCCGTTGCCAGGTTTTGTGCCTATTTTCCCACACCGGTTCTTCCAGCGATTCAACTGTAAGTTCTTGGTTCTTATTGTTGTAGTACTTCTTTTCTCCTCATACTTTTTTCAGTTTAACTGAAAGGACACATTTTTTTCCTGCAAGTAGTGGAACAGTTGGTATCCAGGGGCCAGAAGGTACTGGTCAAGTGAGGATAACCTATGACTTGGAAAAATTGCAAATGCCATATCTGTAAACAGATATGAGGAAATCCTAAGATTCTGCACTCTGTGGACAACTTGGCTTACCGCCCAGCAAACACAGATAGGCTCTCCAGAATAAGACAATTCCTAGGTACACTTCAGGCAGCAGCAGATCCTGAGGAATTTCAATCAGGTCGGCCAGCTATGAGTGTCATTGCTTTTCTTATTCAGTTCTAAACATTGTGCCAATACAATGTTAAAATTTAAACAAAATTTGTTAAAATATTTTTCAACGCATAAAATGAAACAGAATACAAGATGGACCTTTTCTTACAATAAATTAATAATGTTTTATGTTGAGTTCTTAGGCACATGTAGTCCACTGCATTGGACATATCTGTAACTTCATGTAATAAGGTTATTTTAAAAAAAGTTTACCATTTTACAAGGAAAACAGATCAAAAAAGCAAGGCTTTAATAACTCATGCATCAGAGGGTTAAAATGCATTTAAATGCAGAATGCTGAAAAAGGCGTCCCTATGTCCTCCAGCAGTCTAAGCCTATAGCAGCATAACTATAGAGGTCGGCCAGCTATGAGTGTCATTGCTTTTCTTATTCAGTTCTAAACATTGTGCCTATATCCACTTCATTGGAAATATCTGTTACTTCATGAAATAAGGTTTTTTAAATAAAAAAAAAAGTCTACAATTTTTCTCCATGTCCTAAGAAGAATAAAAATCCTCGAGGAAAAAAATCATAGGCAAGGCTTTAATAATTCATGCATCAGAGGGTTAAAATGCCTTTAAATGAAGCATGATAAAATAGGGGTCCCTATGTCTTCCAGCAGTCTAAGCCTATAGCAGCATATCTATAGAGATAGCTCAGGATAACATGAG